ATTAAAACGCTTATAAATTCACATTACCTCAATATCACTCTTTTTAATTATATTAAATTTTAAATTTACATTAATTTATATCTTCTCTTATTATTTTTATTAAATATAAGTGCATATAAAAAATATTTAATATTCTTCCGGTCCTAAATATAGAATCTATTTTGTAGTATAATTTACATTACAAAATGAATCTCATATTTAGGACCGGAGGAATACTTTTTTTGCCAACAAATATTTAATACTTTAAAAAATATATTATTGGTGTTTATGAAATAATTTTATGTCCATGGTAATTTTCATTGGACAAATTAATAAAAAGTATTATATTAAACATTTTTACAACTCTTCGAAAATCCAATACGAACGCCATTTGTTTATCTTTTTTCCCCCAAAAAAAATATTTTTTTGGTTTTTTTTTAAAAAATCAAAACATATATGAAAAAAGAGTTGCTTTTTAATTATTTTGACAAGCTACTTGGGTGGAAAAAAAAAGAAGTAGGAGAGTGAAGAGAGAAGATGATAGACAAAATATCACATTTTGTGTAAATAACTAAAGAGCAAGAGATTGGGCAGGGAATTGATAAGCAAATACTTAATTTAAGTTTGTTATATATTTTGTCAAATTTTTCAATCACACATAACCATGTGCTTTAATATCTTATATAAATATATAATTAAATTTATTAAATACTTATATTTCAAAAATAATACATATGGCCATATGAGATTGAAGAATTCCGATCTTAACATAATAGATATAAAAAAAAAAAACTTGACATAAATATCATTCAATTAATAACATGCACTTGTCAACCTGAGAGGGAAAATCCCACGGTTAAATCAGTGAAGTAATAAATTAATTTTCTTAATAAATTTAGTCAAAAATTTTAGATGATTTGACTGTTTTTTTTTTTTTTTACTAAACCGAGAACCATTTTGAGTTTAAAAGAAATAATAGTCCATTAAATTTATATTTTATGAACTTGGATTATAAATGACTTGCACATCAATATTCTATATTTATGATTTGAATCGCTGTCTTGATCAGTCTGTTTTTAAACACATTAATAACAGTATCTGTGAAAACACGGTGGAGCCAATAAAACATAGTGCTTCTGGCAAAGTTTTGGATATTTGCGGAGATGTGTGCGTATTTTTTATAATTTAGACAATTAACAAGAATAGTAAATAAAGACCCCCAATATTGAAATGATGATTTGCGACTCTTAATTGAAAAAATAACAAATAAAGACACAATATTATGTTGCAAATATAAAATTTTGATGAAATGTCTGAAATACTCCTCAACCAAATTGTGATTTGATTTACTGAAATTTAACATATTGGGAGTTTTTATTTGCCATCTTCTCATTTAACAGTTAACACCACTTTAAAGAGACCCCAATCTCTCTGCCTCCTTTATCATCCACTTTCTTATTGTCATCATTAAATCAGTTTAAAAGGTTGAGATTTAATTTATATAAAGGTATCATTTTAATATAAATTAAAAAATAGTATGTAATTAAATAAATTTAAATTAAAAATATTTATCTAAATATTTTCATATTTTATACTTTTATTTGTAGAAAACAACATTCATAATACTACCCATTTCATGATTATTGTTAAGGCTGTTAATTATGATTATAAGCCACTTTAAAACCTTGATCGTCTTCTAAGACCTCACTCAATTGGTTTTTTCCAGAACAAAGGACAAGAAAAAATGGTATACCAAACTACCGATTGCTAATAACCGGAAGTTGGATGTTCCCAGGTTCTCCATATCCTCCACTTGATCTCTCCATAAATAAAGTATAATATTACCTTCGGTCCTAATTATAAGAGCCAGTTGACTAATTTAAAAAGATTAAGTAAGTTGAGTTAGTTATTTGTCCTAAATAGATGTTGTTTTTCCTAAAATATCCTTGCTAATCAAGTGTATTGACTAAAACTATCATTGTTAGAAGAATTGCTTTGAAAAAAAATGTATAAATATAAGAGATAAAGTGGATTGGGGTCTTATATTTAGGACTAAAATAAAAGTCAAACAGGGTCTTATATTAAGAACTAAATGTAGTATATTTATGCAGATTCAATTCATATTCATAATTTAAAAATAAAAAGACAAAAATTTAATTAATTATAAATACATACATACAAATCGATTCGAATGAAAAAATGTATTGGCATATGCATACTCCTAATTAACGCAGTGATACATGTTTAGAAAACAAATGTTTAAATAATTACCTATTCTATTTTTTAATGTAAGTCACTTATAATATATTCTAATACATTAAGAAATTTATTAAATTGAAAAAAATTTCAATTTTTTCTTTCTTTCTAATAAAAATTAGATAAAAGTAAAATTGAAAAACAAACATTAAATATACTACAAATGATCTACATTTAAGAGTAGATACAGATGACTTGCATTTAAGACCCGGGTGATAATTTTATTTGTTGTCGATCACCCAACTCAAAAAACTTACACACATTATACTTATACAAAAGGTTAAACTCACAACTTCTTATATAAATCAAAATTTTAGAGAGCATTTAGTGTCAATTAGATCAATTGACTTTGACATATAAATAACTAATTTGATAGAAAATTTAAAATGAGGTATAGTGCCTCTTTGTTTTTTTTGGCCTAAAAATGAGTTATATTAATTAATAAGAATCATTTTACAGTACATGCCTATATACAATAATTTATATAATTGCTTAGATGCATGGATTTTTTTTTTGGGCCACCGATTAGATGCATGGATTTATTTAATTATATGAAAAGAGATCCACCTAATAATTCATGCAGCATTAATGCATGCTGCATATTAGAGATTCGCGTGGCAACTCAACCCTAACCTAACGCATAAATATATAGGACCAGCTCAGTAATTACGTATACTGTCTCCAACAATAATTTCAAGCTCTTAAATTTATTATTCCCCTCGTTTTTTTTTTCCTTAAAAAAAAAGCTTCTTATGCTATGACACTTAATTCTCTTAAATTTGTATCATGCCCTATATTGATTAAGTTAGCCCATTACCACAAAAAAAAAAAAGGTTTCTATGTCCTTAATTAGGGATGCACATGGGCAGGGCTGGGCAGGGCAGAACCCCTGCCCGATGCCCAGCCCGAAAAACAGAAGGCTGCATTTTGTAACCCGCTGCCCGGCCCTGCCCATAGAAGCCCTAACCATTTGGGCGGGCATGGGCAGGGCGGGCTTTGGGCCCAAATGATGATGACCTACCGATATCACATTAAAAAAACTTTCATCCATACCTAAAAATTACATTTCATAATTTTATATTTTCACACATTAAAATTATCCAAAAATAATTCAAAACAAGTCTTAGCAAATATCCAAATAAATAATATTCATAATCTATTTAGAACAAAACAACTCTCAAGATTGTAATTAAAGTCTTGAATTCAAACGGTTTGCATTAATCTCTAGAAAGTTGAGAAAAGAATAAAACATCTGAAAAAATTGAAGAGGGGTTGAAGCACATTGAGATATTCCATTGGGAGCCAGCGATGGCGATGTAATAGAAACTTGATTATCCATTTAAGTGGCAAAAATTAAATGTTACCTAAAAGATTGTAAAAAGATATTAAAATTAAAGTAATGGGCTAATAGGAATAACATAGACCATATAAAATGAGGTGAAAATAATTGTAAAAAGAAAAATAAAAATAATCTCATAATAATTTAATATAATAACTTTTAATATGTAAATACTTATTATGCGATACAATGCAGTTAGCAGTCCATACACTAAAAGACTTCTTTCTATCATATGACTTGTTCATAAAAATTTTAAAAATAAAATAATATAAATCAAATAGAAAACATGTAATTCAGATAATTAAACCCAATTTTCTTTCCATGCTCCTACCCCAATCTTGTTTTCTATCTTGCATAAATATTCAAAATTGTTTATTTATACAAATATGTAATGTATGAACTCCATTCTCTAACAAAGAAAGTTGTTAATGACATAGAGGGGAAGATTGACTTTAAATAGCCAACACTACAACAGCAACAAACAATAGGATATACACAATAAAACTCACGAATAACAAGTTAAAAGCAAGATACTACTGCTTCTTTAGAAGAATTAGATCCCTTAAAAAAGAAAACTAATAGATATGTAATAATAATAAGTTAAATTGCAAAAAGGAGGGAGATAACTTTTTTTTTTAGGTAAAGAAATGTAATATATTAATATTATTTTATAAATTATAATATATATAATCTGGCAGGGTCAAATGGACAGGGCAACATGTCCTGCCCGATGCCCAGCCCTGCCCATGAAATGCCCAGCCCAAAGATGCCCATTCTTTTTCGGGCTCTTTTTTTTCGGGCTGGGCCGGGCAATTTTTCTTCGGGCTCGGGAGGGCTTTGCGAGCATTTGGGCTTCATGCACACCCCTATCCTTAATGTATGTCTGTTAAGATAAAAATATGAAGAGAAAAAAAAGTAATGATTCAAGTGCAATTAAAATTTTTTTAAATAAAAATATTATGTCAAGTCCTAATGAATATGGAAACTTACTTCTGTGATATACATTGTTTTTCATACAAAATTAACAAAATTAATGTAGTTATGCTATTCCGTGTTGCTTGGAACTTGGAATAACGATTGACATAAATATCAAGCAAATCTATGTTAATTGGAATGGTGATCGACATGGATATTGAGCAAATCTATGTCAATTTTTAAAGGAGCCAATATAACTCCGACATTTTATGTTAATTATTGTTAAAACTAATGTAGAAAGAGTCAACCATAAAGTAACGTTTCTGTTAAATAAGTTATAATATATTCCTCCGGTTCTAAATATAAGACCCTTATACACACTAGTATAAGGGTCTTATATTTAAGACCGAAGGAGTATTATCTAAGTTCGTTATGTAGATATCCTATATAAATACTCTAATAAGTGCATCAATAAAAGTTGAGAAATTTATTTTTCCCAGTATTTAAGTAACATGGTATCAGAGGCTTCTAAACTTTTCTCTTTTCTTTCCTATCCTTGGCTTTCTTACTTTTTTCACTCTCTCTCCCCCCCTCCTTCCTTTCCTTCTGCCATGGCTGATGCCTCTTCTTCGTCATCTTCTTCTTCCTCTACCATTGATCAAGCCATTACTTCTATATCTGTCCCAGTGAGAACCCAACCCTCATCCTGGTTGTGCCCTCTCTTGATGGTACCAATTACCATAGTTAGGCACGTGTGATGAAGATGGCCTTATTATCTAAAAGCAAAGTTAAGTTTGTTGACAGTATGATTAGTCTACTGATGTCCACCAATTCTCTCTTTCCAGCATGGGAGTGCTATAACAACCTCATCCAAGGCTGGCTTACGAAGTCAGATGTGGGACAAATCACGCTATCTTTAGTCAAATGTTTTTCAAATTGTTGATCTCCAAGAGGAGATATGTAGCTTGAAACAAGGAAGTATGAGTGTGACTGAATATTACATTTAACTCAAGATCTTCTGGGATGAATTGTCAAACGCTAGTCCTTTGAAAGCTTATGATTGTGGATCTACATCTATTGCTCTTCATCATCAAGAAGAATATCACATTACTTGATTCCTTAATGGCTTGAATGAACAATTTTCAGGGATCAAATATTAGATTCTTCTTCTTTCTCTCTCTTACCATCAGTTGATCATGTTTTTTTCACTAGTACTCTAATAAGAAAGGGAGTTTCATCTTGGTTCTGAGTCCAAGATACTATTGACCAAGGGTCCATGACCTTTTCCTTCATCTGGATCAAAGCTGAACAAATAGTGTACCTACTGTGGCAAACCACATCACACTGAAAGAACATGCTATCGCAAGCATGGATTCCCACCAAGACTTAAGTTTAGCTTCTTTGGTCACACTATAATGGTGAATCAAATTTCATCCCAAGACTTTGTTTCTGCTTAAGAAATCACTACTACTAAGCATTTCCCTCCATTAATACAATCAATAGCTTCTATTTTGCCTTAGTTGTCACCAGATCAATATCAATGTCTTCTTACCTTATTGGCTCCTTCTTAAACTTTCTCTTCTATTAATCACTTGTTTGTCAATTTTTCTCCTACAATAGGTAACTGTAATTCTATTGCCTCTAAAAGTCTTGCTACCTGGATCATCGATCGAGGTGCTACTAACCATGTTTGTTGTTTCTTAGAATTGTTTTCTTCTTACAATTCCACTCCTCCTATAGGGATAATTGTTCTTTCTTCTGATTTGGTTTTGACAAATATGTTTTATCTTCCTGATTTCTTCTGTAATATCATTTCAGTTTCTAGAATTACTATTGCTTTGTATTGTTTTCTAGTTTATGGTGCTTATTTTGTCAAATTTTCTTGTTCGATCCATTGCAGATGATTGGTTTAGCTAAACTCTTTGAAGTGCTTTATCTTCTAAATGTAAAAATGATTGGTTCAACCACAACTTCTCAAATCAGTATGAATTCTTCTACCCCAAATTCTACTTTAGCTTCAATCCTATGGTATCTCCTATTGGGCCACTTTGCCAATTCTACCTTAATCTTACATAAAGTTGTTTCTAAAATTCATTGTATTACTCATTCAGCTATTTGTGATGCTTGTCACTTTACTAAGCAAAAGTGTCTTTCCTTTCTTGTAAGCTCAAGTATTAGCAATAAAATTTTTTCTTTGATATATTTTGACATTTGGCACCCATTTTCTATACCTTCTGTTTAGGATCACATATTTTTTAACAATTGTAGATGACTATTCAAGATTTACTTGGTTATTTTTAATGTAATCTAAGTCTAATACTAGTTCGAAACTTAAGAATTTTATTGCTCTTGTTGGGAACTAATTCTCTACTTTTGTGAAAATTCTTAGATTGGATAATGGTATTGAGTTTTCCATGATAGATTTTTATAATTCTAAAGGCATTATTCATCAAAAGTCCTGTGTTGAGACTCTTCAACATAATGGACTTACGGAACATAAAATATCAATACATTTTAAATGTATCTAAAGCTTTGCTTTTTCAATAAAACATTTTGTATATTGGTCTTTTGTGGTCTTGCATGCTACATACATCATCAATAGGTTATCTTCTCTAATATTGCAAAATCATACCCCTTTTGAAAAATTATACACTCAACCTCCCTCTTATTCAGATTTTAAAACTTTTGGTTCTCTTTGTTTTGCCTCTACTTTACAACATAGTCGTTCTAAATTTGATTCAAGATCTTGAAAGTGTGTTTTCTTTTGTTTTCCATTTGGTTTTAAAGCCTATATTCTTTTGGATTTGTCCATTAATCAAATTTTTCTCTCTTGGGATGTTATCTTTTATGAGTTACAATTTCCCTTCAAAGATCTTACAACTTCTTCTGCTGCTCAACCTCATGAACCCACAATCCAATCATTTCCTAGTTTCTTGGATGACATTTCTCCTTCCTTATCTTCCACACAAACTGTTTTGTTTGTTTCTTTATCATCAAATGTTTCCTCCTCACCAAATGTTTCTTCTTTACCACCTATTTCCCCTGCACCTATTTCTCCTATTATACAGCCTGCTACCCCTCTTAAACAATCTACAAGACCTCATAACACCCATCATATCTGCAAGATCATCATTATCCTCTAATTTCTGCCACTAATCAATCATCTAGCAAAGGTAATCTTAAATATGCTCTTTCTTTGGTTCTAACTAGTTCTTCTTTTCCTCCCTCCAATAAAAATTTTGTATTGCTTGTTTCTTCTGTCCTTGATCCAAAAACTTATTCATAAAGCTATTAAACATTTATGCGGGAGGTGTGCTATGAATGCGAAAATTAAAGCCATTGAGCAAAACCAAACCTATGTTTTAACTCAATCACCACCTGGTAAAAAAACTATTGGATGCAAATGGGTCTACTAGACCAAGTTGAAAGCCAATAGAGAAATAGAGAGGCATAAGGTTAGTTGCCAAAGGCTATACTCAAACTGAAGGCATGGACTATTTTGATGCTTTTTTCCTAGTTGCTAAGTTGACTACATTACATTTATTGCTATCTATTGCTGTTGCTAAACACTGGTTTTTACATGACTAGATGTGAATAATGCCTTCCTTCATGGGGATTTGTATAAGGAGGTCTATATGGATCTTCCTAAAGGATTTACCTCAACTTAGCCTAACCTAGTGTGTAAGTTGTAGAAGTCACTTTATGGTCTCAAATATGCTAGTCGGCAGTGGTATTCCAAGCTGCCCTTTGCTCTAATCTCATATAGGTACTCTCAATTGGCCTCTAATAACTCTTTAATTAAAGCTTCCTCTGAATCATTTGCTATTATTTTGATATATGTAGATGATGTGGTTCTTGTTGGTAATAATTTGGCTGAGACTAATTTTATAAAGCAATAGTTAGATGATGCTTTCACCATTAAGGATTTGGGTTATCCTTGCTATTTCCTTGGTTTGGAGCTTGCTAGGACCAAAGATGATATCTTCTTAAGCCAAAGAAAATTTGCCTTAGAAAAACTCAAAGACAGTGGTTATCTAGCATGTAAGCTAGCATCTTGTCCAATGGATCCCCACCTTAAACTTTCAAAAGACAAAGGCCAGCTACTAGACGATCCCCAGGTTTACGGGAAATTAGTTAGGTGACTGCAATATTTGACCACCACACAGCTTGATCTTAGCTTTGCAACCCAACTTATGTTGGCCCCAAGAGATATTCATCTTCAAGCATGACATTGAGTTCTTCGTTACATCAAATCCCCTCCTGGAGTTGGTATCTTCTTCTCTTCCATTCTAGTTTGTTGAAGTTTCAAAGTTTCAGTGACTCAGACTGAGCTAGCTATATCGATTTAGGGAGATCAGTCACTGGGTTTGCAGTGTTTCTTGGCTCTTCATTAATCTCGTGAAAAGCTAAAAAGCAAGCCATGTATCTTTGTCTTCCTTAGAAGTAGAATATTGTGCTCTAGCTACCACTACTTGTGAATTACAGTGGCTTTTTTATCTCTTGACTGATTTTCATCTTTCTCATATAGAGCCAACCTTGTTGTATTATGACAATCAGTCTACCATTTAGATAGCAGCAAATACTACTTTCCATGAATGAACCAAGCACATAGAGCTGGATTGCCACCTGGTTCGAAATAAACTATAGGCTAAAGTAATCAAATTGTTCCTTGTCCACTCTATTGATCAGCTCGCAGATGTTTTTACCAAACTATTACATCCCACATGTTTTCATGATTTTTTTTTTTAGCTGAGTTTTCATGAGTTAATATCCAAGATTGGCATGAAAAATATTCATGCTCCAACTTGCGCGGGTGTCAACCATAGAGTAATGTTTAATGTTCAAATACCCTAAACAAGATTTTATAAAAATGACCAAACTAATTTAAATTATGAGAAGATGTTGAAATTGCTGGGGTCACTTGATTTTGTTGTGGAAGATTTTAATTAGGGTTAGTTGTTTAGGGTGATAATGGTACATACTCACTTTCCTTATTGGGTACTTGCTTCATTTGGTTTCGTAGTTTATACCATGACAAAGACGCTTACTTCCCCTTAATTATTTTGCATCTTTTTTCTGACCAGCAACTTAATTATTTTACATTTGCTTGCATATATAGTTATACCAACAAATTTCATTTTCATTATCTAACCATTTATTATATGCATACCCCACGATAAAGTTTATAATAGACGTGCCAACATATTAGCAATTTATATATCACACCAGAAAATTAAATTAAAATAATTAGTTTACATTTCACCAAAAATTAGATAAAACATGAAACTAAAATAGAAGGGTAAATTATACATAACTTCCATAAAGTTTTGTTTTATATGTAAATAACTTTCACGACTTTATAAATTTATAATAAATCCCCTAATATTTTATTCTTTCAAAATAAATTTTACGCCCTTAATTTGTCTGTTATTTTATTGAAAGAGAGGTATTTAAAAAAATAATATATTTTATACATAACATTGATAAATAAACAACTTGACTATTTTTTTAATTTTCATAAATTAGTTAACTAAATTTATATTTAAAGGATTACAAAATAAGTAGAATAATTTACTGTAAAGTTTTCAAGATTGAAAGGAAAATTATTTTCAGGCTACCCCAATTTTGAGCTGATATTTTCTCTTTCTAGACCCTTCAAGTGTTTGGAGGCAAGTAAGCAACCTACGTGGGGACAATCCAGAAACAGAGGTCTAACTAGAAAGATTAGAAAGCCAAGGACCATATTAAGTGAATGAGCATGAAAGTGGGTCAGTTTTCCAACTGTTTCTGACGATGTAACTATTTGGCAGTGAATAAGAATAATAACACTACGTACCCACCGAAACTCTCAACTACATTTGACGCCATTTATAACTTGTGCTGCTGAGCGGCACCTTTATTGATGAAGTAAAAGTTCCATCATTCTTTTGTGAGGCATTTCCCGGGAAAAGGTAAGTCATAAACCCTCCAGTTTATTTTTTTTTTTTTCATGTTTTACTTGATGCATAGAGAGAGTTTTGTAATTATTGAAAAAGAAAGAAAGATAATTTCTAAGATATTTGGTGACAATTGTATTAGATTCAATTAATTCTAGAAAGATATAAAAATGCATCGAATCTACTTTTACCAAAAAGTGAACTTGATAGATAAGTTCTTGAGGACACCCAAATTGCAAATATTAATAGATCAAATCAATTGTGAAGTAGACATATAACATAAGCATACAAGATATTTTGACAATCTTGGATGATTATTTAAAATTGACTCAATTTATCATCATCATTATCATCTTCATCATATTCTTTGAATCAGGCATATCTAAAAGTTTTCATTATTCAATATGCATTAAGTGCTGTCTTTACAATTAATTTAGACGACATATCATTAATAATGCAAATTTTTCTTGGCAAACCTCTCCTATGTTAGCCTATAAAACCAAAGGGCAGGGTTCTTGCCTCACCACCATACCCAATCCTCAGACTTTCCATTTGGCTTAACTTTCTTCCCATTTCCCATACCCAAAATGGCTGCTTCTTCTTCTTCTTCTACTCGTTTGCTTATCATAGCTCTCTTCGTTGCTGTGTCTTTGTGCAGCATCTGCAGAGTGGAAGCCATTGGCAACAGAAAACTTCTGGCTCCATCAATTCCTGGCTTTGGTAACACCCCCCTAAATTTTCCTCCTTTTCCACCAATCACTGAGTGGCCCGAGTACAGATTGCCGCCACCAATTTTCACACTTCCCAACACACCCTTTGTTCCCAATGTTCCTTCCTCCTCCCGACCTGCCTCAACCACTACTACCCCCTGAGGTTAATTTGGTAACTCTGCGTTCCTCTGTGGACTTTCCATGGCATTCTCTAGCTTGCATGCATGCTCATGGGTAGCAAAATAAAGGCTCTCGTACAAGCTTGCTCTTCATGTCTACTTCTCTGTTTGCTTTTCTTTCTCTCTTTCTGGTGCAGCTCTTGGAGTTGATCTTGCAGAACCTGGTTGTGTCCAATCTGTTTTCCGTTTCTCGTGAACATTGTATGAGCATGAGAAGAAATATTACGGATCATATATTTATATATTTAGTAGATTTCATGCGCGTGTGAAGTACCAGTCTTATAAAGTGCCAGGTCTAGCAGATATAATCACATACTCTAATTCTCAAATCTCTAAAAGGGATTGAAAGGAATAGCTGAGAGTATTTGCCTATAATTTTATACAGAAATAATCTTATGGCCAGGACGAACACATTCTATGAAGGCTTGCATATACAAGACATAGATAGACATACAGAAGCATGACCCAGTCTAAAATCACAGATAGCTCTGCATTTTCGCAGCCAGGACTTGGACCCCGATGCGAGAAAAAAAAGAAAGAAAAGAAAAGAAAGGAAGCTTAAACTTATTGCCAAACATATATGCAAAATCCAGCTTGACTGGTGCTCAAGCTGAGCATCACAAATGCAAGATGGCCATTCATTTTTTGTTTTCGTTTTTCCTGTGGTTTTCATGCTGAGATGCAGAGAACACTCTATAGTGTGAACAGGCATACACATTATTAACAATAACAGAACTTGAACATACCTAAGCTTAACACTGCAATTATAGGCCGCAACTTGCCAACAATTCAAGCATTTACATTGTGGACAGACCCCACACATCAGCAGTTTATTGCACACTTCTTTGCTATAAAGCCTGGTTTAATGTCCTGCTATTACTTTTTCAATTTAGAGAAAAATGTTATGTTCACGCTTCTACCCTTCTAGTATATCAGTCTTTTTCAAAATAGATACCCAACTTCAGCTTGCAGCTCATGCTCCGGGCGGCTTATTTGTTTTAAAAAGTCAGAAGTCCAAAGTGTAACGAGCCGAGCTTATTGCAATTCTGGCAAGTGGCAATAAAGGCAGAATATACACAGACGTAACAGGAGAACTGTGCAATTCCACGAGAGACAGAACAGAGCATATCATGCAGGGAAATGGATACTTCACTTTCATAGTTATTATAACTGACTTCACAGTGCAGAGCATTTTGTGCAGGGCAATCAAAATTTCCCATAACCAAAATTGGCATATAGTGATGGAATGATGCTCAAGATCTGTAGAAACAAGGAAAAGAAAACATACATAGATATAGAAGGCCTAAGATATAAAAATTCAAAATTTATTCTTCAATATTAAGTTTGTATAAACATATCTAATATATCAGTCTACAAACTCCAACCATCTCTCTTATTACATCACAAAATTCAAAGTATCTAGCTGCCTTCATATTTTGGGTCAGCTGTAACCAAATGATATGCTATAACCAATGCAAAAATGAAAATGCCAATGTAGTTGGCAATAAATCCCAAGGCTTGATCATCAATCATCTCTTCCTTCCTGGAGGAGATAAAAATAATTTAATCAGAAAGAATTAATCACCAGAATCAGTAGCATGATAAATACAAATAATATTACATTTTCACGTATCATGGCGTCAGTTTCAATTCTTGCAACATAAAAAATTGCCCAAAACAAACAGGATACCCGAGTCAAGAAAGCACACATCAAACATCAAGGTCTAAAAGGAAAGAGAGTATTTCGCTTTGAATGGACATGTTAAAGATATTGTAACAAATAGCCAGTACAAGGTTAATCCAAAATTATGGCTTCACAAAGACTAATAAATAACTAGATATCATTTTCTCAAGCAATATACAGGAGGAATAATAACATAAAAGTTACTCAAACATTATATTAATCTTTCTAGCATTGAAATCCTATTAAAATATGACAAATATTTTTAAAAAATAAATAATAAAGTTGCATCTTGAATGTAAGATGCAAAAACAGAGTAGTAGGGCAGGGGGTAAGCGACACTTGGGTGGGAAAAACAAAGAAAGGAAAATCCAGAGAAAGGGGTAGGAAAAAAAATAATAAATATGAAGTGCAAAGTGAACATTAGCAGAACCCTACTCACCCAAGGCTGCTGGAAACCCACAAATCATCTAAAATGACCCAAGAATTTAGCATTATTAATACAAATATTATATCCCCCCCCCCCAAAAAAAAAAAAAACACACACACACACCCCCACAAAAAAAAAAAACTTACAACTAGATTTCTCAATAATAAGTTCATGAATCTCCACTTCCATTCAGGTTACACTACATCAGTTAACCGTATTTAATACTCATCGGTTGCTTTCTAGTGAGAGTAAATTAGTAGGCCGCGCAAGTCATAACAGATAAAATATAACCATGAATCCAAACAACAAGGCAGTTCTGTAGCAATACTTCACATCACACAATTATTGATCTCAATGCAAGCAGAGCATTAAAAAGGGTGAGAAACTGAACAAGAAAGTTACAGATTTTTCAGATGCATGGATCAATGTTCCTCAGAATTTATCAGAAATAACGAATTTGATCTACCCCCGAAAGCAATCATAATTAAAACCCTAGAAATTGTTTGGCAAAATGCCCCAAATTCTTTAGGGAAACAAAATGCCCAAAATTCTTTGTGGAAACAGACTACAAAGATCAGGAACCGAAAGAATGACAGTGAATAACAATGTGGGGAGGATTGTTGAAAGATGTCACCTTTAGTCGTTGAACAGATTTCTTCTGTGAGATCTGGACTTTCCGCTGTCGTATTTTCAGCACTGGAACTGGATCTTCAGGTTTAGGAAGTGTGACGAACACGAACCTACCATGCGTTTAACGCAGGTGACAAATAAAACGTCGTCGTCAGCTTGGAAAGGTGAGAATTGTTTGTGAAAACTAATTTGCACGTCCATCATTAAACATATAAGGTTGGAAAAAAAAATACTATCAGAGACATTAGTCCTTAATTAATACTAAAATCTTCTAATATGCTAATCTTTTTTTCATGATGGATCCAACACCTTAATCTTTATTTTTTTGATATTTTCAGTATCTTAATTTTTTTTTTTTTTAACTTGGATCCATCACCCTCATTTGTAGAGAATGTACTAAAAATAAGATTACAATACTGATATACCTGGAGAATAAGATATCGGGAAAATGCAAGTTCCGTCAAAAATATATTTTATTTTAAACACTGTCACGGGGACCATAATTTAGTGTTGAAGCCCAGAAAAAACGATGAACAAGGGGAAGTCAAATCGTCGGCGGAGCAAGATTCACTCTTCCCATTTTCTGAATTATCAGTATCCAAGGGCCCTAATCTTCCAAGTGGCAGAGTTCATTTGTCCTCCAAATCTCTAGTACTCGGTTCTAGGCAGAGTTTTTCATTTATTTGTTCTCAAATTCCTTATATGTTATGTGTGTGTGTTTATATTTGTATATAGTGAGGAATTCTATCCCCGGATACTAAGAAGGAAAATATTTTTATTTGCAATTCTTTTACTATTGAGCTTTACATCATTAATTAATTCTTTTAAAAATATCACATCATATCTTGATAACATACAAAAATGACAAACCAAAATATACAAGACTTGTCCTTATTGTAATCCAACAAAAAAAAACCAACACTATTATTGGTTTCTCTTCTACTTTTTCATGTCCACCGCTTCAGTTGATGTGACCGAAGCACCTTTCGCTGGATCAGCATGGAAATATCATCATCAAAAAGAAAGCAAGAACTATAAAGAAAGAAGAGGGGCCAAAAAAAAAAAAAAAAGGATCCTTTTTATTTATTTATAAGACTTGTCACATCATTTTTTGCGCCATTACATAACACAGACAATAGAACAAGGTCAACTACATCCACATTACACTCCTAATTATCCCCCACCCACAACTTCAAATTCAAACCCCAGAAACATAAACAAACACAGAACAATAACCAACAAACCCCCCATGTAAATATTGCAAAATTCATATCAGAGAAACACCCCATTCTGCAGGTTAATACTAATCAAGCCCCGTTCATACATAAATATGACAATTTGGTCACATACTCATGTTGCATCATGTTATGTTCTGTGCTTCTGATATGGTATCTGAGTCTTTGGATTAGTCTGTCAACCCCACCATTGATGGACTGCAACTCCTTCATCTCTCAGTCTTCCGTACAAAGCTAAGCACTCCCAATATGCTCTGTGATTATTCTTCCTCCTCCCAGACTTCCACCATTCATTCTTACACTCTAGAAACAACTCATCCGCTATGCAAATTGTTCTCTTTTTTATCATCTCCTCCACTACCTCTGCTTCTGCCTTCATCACCACAAAGTTTTCCTCCTCCACATTCTTAGTTAACCAAGCAGAAACATCAGTTTGGGAAACAGACTGGTCTTTTGGTTTGATTTCCAGACTGTGAATCTCGAAATGCTGACTCTTTGGGTAGTTCTTTTTGAACCATTCAATTGTGACTTTGTTTTCTTGAGGCAAACCTACACCGATGAAGACTCTTCGCTTGTAGCCGTCAAGAGAATTACCCATCAAGTTGGGTAGGTACTTGATTTTCTTCAAGTACTTATTGGATTTCACTAGAGATTTTTTTGGTGGCTCAAGAAAGACATCTTCAAGACCATTTAGAACCACCTTCTTGGAAACTGTTTCCAATTGGCAAAGCTTTCTCTTTGATGAAGGTTCAGGGCCAGTTTTCTTCAATACAACTATGATAGAACTGTAGGTACGGAGATACACAACTCTGTAATTTGGTTTCTCTTTGAAAGCATTTGACGGGTTAGTGCCTAATGGAAGAGCCACAATGCCATCAGATTTCAGAATGCGATCGACGAATTCAGCATCTTCAGAGGCAGAAATGAACACAAAATCATATGACTCATTTGGGATTGAGATTTTCCTCTCCAAATCAGAGTCCAAAACCACTTCAACTTCATTGTTGAATGGAATAACATCAACAAATCCATTTGGAGGGGTTATAACAAGAGCCTTATCGTCCTTTCTGAGAAGGCCTTCATCAGCCAAATCATTAAGGAGGAAGTTCAGTAGCACACCATTGATCGAATGAGGCTCAGTATCAAACTTAGGATAGACTGATGAATGTGAAAAATCTGATGGAGAAGAAGACAATCCCTTGAGAATGGAACCCAAGAAAGGCAACGTGACAAGAGCCATAGCCAAAAACAGTGAACGAGACATAATGCGCAAGATCTGTACATCAGGAATCTTTACCACTAACACAGTATCAGAATTCAAAGGAATTCTTGGTCCAACACGAGAGCACTTGATCTTACTCCCATTCTTGGGTTTATTATACCCATAAACCATCTCCATTTCCTTCATGCGACGATTAACTCCTAACCCACCGAACAAAACCCTTTTAAAAAAATTGCGAGTATGGATGTACAAGAAGTTCAAGATAGGGTCAATTCGCAGCAAAAGGGACAGCCCAGATGCAGAAATCGAAAGAAATTGCCACAAACGAAGGAAAAAGAAACTAAGCCTACGATTCCTCAAAATTTATCGAACCTTTTTATCGAGTGCAAAATCCAGAGGCTGTGTGGTTCCCACCCACGAGTGCGACTCTTGCACTTTGCTTTCTACACCACAAGAACATCAATTGCTTCATCCTCTCGACGTCCATTAACCCTCCAAATCCAGATCAGGTTGGGATTCCAGACTCACCAAAGAAGAAGAAGAAGAAGAAGAAGAAGACAATTATGTGAATACTGGTTCGTGAAGGATTGTGACGGAGACAATTATACGAAAAGACGAAACGGATCAAAATTCGAAAGGAACGCACTGGTGAGGTTACGGGTTGGGGTGTTGCAATGCAAGAAAATATTTGCTTAATATAGCCATTAATTAATAATTAATTACGTGTAAAATATAATTTTGGTTTACATATTGAGGCCGTTAAGGAGGAAATTTATCACAACTGCTTTTCCGTGTTTTCTTTTAAGCCCAAAGCGTAATTATTTTTAAGTACTCTTCTAATATAGGGTGGAGGGAGAGTTTGTTTTTCTCATCGCATGTTATTAAATTTTTTATATGAACATATAATTATTTATTATTTATGTAAACAAACCATTAAAATATACTCTCTTAATATAGGACCTAATTCTTTAGTTGGTTTTGATCCTAAATATAAGACTTATTTCTCATATTTATCAATTTTTTCTAAATTACCCCTATAGATACTCCCTCAACCATAATTAAATAGAAGAGGGAGATGGGGTATTAAAAAAGATGATTATAGTGTTTTAGGAAAAATATGTCACTTTTCTTATAATTAACTAACTTACCTAACTTTCTTAATCTAATCAAGTTAGTTAAATAGGTCTTATATTAAGGACCGGAGGAGTAGTATATAAGTTTAAGTACAAAGTTAAGAAGTTACTAAATTTTAAGTTAATGAAATTTATGAGTTTGCTTGGTTCAATTTCAGTCAAATATATTGAAAATGCTTTATATATAATATTAAAGTAATTCTTAAGTGTTCGTGATTAATTTTAGGAAAAAATAATGTTTTGATTTCTATAATGTTGACTTAGTTATTTCATTTTGACATGGTACAATTTAATTTTTTTAGTTTTGGTTTGGTTAAAGGTGAATTCTTGAACTTTAACTTATTTATTTATTTTTTTGGTCTATTTAAATCTAATAACAAATGACATTATGGAAGGATGAATCATTAATATTATGCTTATAATGAAATCACATTAAAATATAAAATTGAAAAAGTAAATTCACAAGATCAAATTAAACCAATTAAAAATAACGTATAACAATGAGTGGATTAAATCATTATTCATGTCTCTTATAATGATCTGGAGGTGAAACTCCTGTTTTTGGTATTATGTTGCTTTCATCATAATTATTCAACGTATAACTATTCAAAAACATGCTCATGATTCATGATAATCCTTTTGCTTTTGATTTATTGTCATGGGTCAGCATCAGATGGTTCCTTAACCTAACTATTTCAACCCTTAAATCTCTAGGTTGCTGAGTTTCACTTCATTATGCTTTATTTTATTTTATAAACAAATCATTTTCTTTAAAAAAAAACATAATATATAATTTTATAACGATTTAACTAAGTTTTATACATTATTTGCACCCAAATGGACTCTAAGATGGAATAAATTGACTTAAAGGCTAAATATATTTATTTTGTAACACCAATTGCGCCACTATAATAGAGAGATACTTCTTCGGTCCTTAAGATAGTACTCCTCCGGTCCTTATTATAAGACCCAATTTGACTTTTTATTTGGTCCTAATTATAAGACCAATCCATTTTCTCTCTTATATTTATACATTTTTTCCAAGATAATCCTTCTAATAATGATAGTTTTAGCCAATATACTTAATTAGCAAGGATATTTTAGGAATAACAACACTTATTTATTATAAATAACCAACTTAACTTACTTTTTTAATCTCCTCAAATAAGTCAATTGGGTCTTATAATTAGGACCGGAGGAGTACCTACTTAATTGATTTGAGTAGATTAAGGAGGTATTTGGCAACTCTCAAAAGTCCTTCTAAGAAGCATTTTCTGCAAAACGAGACAAATTACTCTATATATTTACTTCATAAACCGTAAAAGTATTTTTGAAACCATGATTTGGTTTCCATCCAAACATTTTTCAGCAAAAAGATGTTAGTTGAATTAGTTAATATGACATGTTTTTTCAAAACACTCTAAGCATCTTTTTAATTTTTTTCCCTCTCTCTGCTACTTAATTAGTGTTGAGAGAACATTAATATGTTTAATTTGGAGGAAAAAGTTGATAATTATATGAAATAAGTCTTACATTTAGGATCAATATTAATTCTCTAATTAAGTCTTATATTAAGGATCGGATGAGTACTCTATAAACTTATTAGTGTTAACCTTGTGCAAAGCTTGTTAATGTGACAATTTTATTGATTTAGCGAATTAATGCCTGTCGGATTAAGTGGTAAAAGACTCAACACTTCTTAAATAAACTAAAAAATCCAATCCTAGTAACTAGAGTAAACGACGTTAGGAGAGCTCAAATCTAAATTAGTCAATTATCACACTCAAATCTTCGTTTTTTTTTTCTGCTCTGTTTTAGGAATTAAATTACTTTAGAGAATTTTGGTTGCAAACACTAATTGTTCTATTCTCTTTTTTAATGTTGAGCCCCATATCTAGTTTTATTTAAGCTCAGTTGCTTGATCAAATTAGACTATTTGGTGCTTGTTAGGTGCACGCATCACATTAGATTGATTGAGTAGTTTGGTAAGCATTCAAAGAGGACATTAAGGTCTGCCAAGCAGCAAGTCAGCAATTCAGACAAATGGCATTCATTGAAGGTGAATCAAACAATTGTTATCAGATCAGTAACACGTTGTTTGTTGTTGCACTTGTTTTCTTTGTCCTATTTCCATGTTCAAGATACCTCTGCTTGATTAAAAAAGGGATCTTTTATCTGTTTTTTTCTTTTTTTGGGGGGTTACCTGTAACTTTTCAGTCTGCTGATTTCTACATCCTATATTATTCAAAGGAGGTGCTTGTTAAATCCTGAGAAATACTTGTTTTATAGAGGAAATATCATTAATCAAGCTTCAACCCTATTCTTTATAGTTCTCTTCTCCTAAATTTTTTACTTTTCAGGCTGGATTTTTTGGTGATATGTTTAAGCATGTAAGTAGATTGATTCTGCAGCATTTTGCTTAGTAGTTGTCCGTCTTAATCCTTTGTTCCTGAATATCTGATATCAGAATATGCCATATAACATATCCTGGTTTGTATTTTAAAATGACCAAATCCTCTATTACAGTAGAAAGTAGAAAACACATACAAGTGGAGCCATCCAATTCTATGTTTTGCAGAACAAAATTACTTCTTTTTTTTTCCCCCCACTTTAACCACTAAGGTGATGACTGATAAGACAGGGGTGTTATACAGGCTTGGCTTCCCTCTTGATCAGGGTCCAGTTTCTGCTGCTAAGTTCACTTAAGCTTGAGATGTTAACGTGGGATTAATTTGATACGGGTCAAGTCTAGTGAATTAAAATATAGTTTAGCAGAAGAGTATCGTGAGAATCAAACAGTTGATGAAGTTAAAAGAAACCTGCGAGTATGTCAGTGACATAATGTGTTCTGATACGAAAACTCTGAAAAAAAGTGAATTCCATGGCGGATGACATTCAAATTTCGTAGAACAAAGCATAAAAAAAAAGTAAAGCAGCCATTGTTGGTCACTTGGTTACCAATGAGGAAGTGATCTGAAAGGGTTTTGTTCAATTCAACTCAGTTATTGTGGCAGAAAATTTTGAATTCTTCAAAGATTATTGTTTTTTTTTTTTTTAAAATTTTTTTCTCTCATCATCATCATCCTCAAGGAACAAAAGCAGTGACAGATCTTAGAAAGGGGGACCATAATCATTATCTCTCAACTTTGGTGAGGAAAAAGATTATAAAGTTCACGGATGGATCATATTGAAGATGACAATGGTGGGGCTAGAACATAGCGTATGCAAATGGGAGGACACGTTGAAAGATCTGTTGATTGAAATGCATTCTTGTTAGGTAAGGGGTCCCACTTTTCACCCTTTCATTTCATTCTTGATTTTGTGGCACTTGTATTCTTAACCTGCATCCCCCTCCAGAGAAAGAAGAGGTGGGAGGTGGGTCCCTTATCCCTCCATGGGAAAGAGGATCCAATGAGCAATGAAGAGAGAGAAGAAGCAGGGGGTGTGCTTCATTGGAGTGTAAAAATTTCATAAGCATGACATTAGAGAGAGATAGAAAGATAGAAGTGGATTCACCTTTCTTTGCATATAATATTATTCTTGTCACATTTTTAAAAATAATTTTACAGTATACAAAATAAATATATAGAAAAATTTACTTTGATTTGTGAAAAAATAATTTTTAAAAACACTTTCGTCTAATACCAAATGCCTTTTTAGTCTCATTTGCATATTGTATTTTCTTACCTGGATTTAATCAAATTGATTTCATATGGGGATGCCATTTATAAGTTTATAGAGCTCTCTCTTCTAATAAACTGACCTTTTAAAATAAAATGTTCCTTTGAATTTGTGTGCTGATTAGACTATACTAGGTTAGTTGGGCTATCAAGTTATTCGAACATCCTTAATTCTCATGAAAGGAAGCCTCACTCTTCTTTTCTTTTTAGTTTTTATCTCTCACTCATTATTCTAGTTGTGGGGCTAGTACCATGCTGGCATAAATTCAAAAGCACAAGAGTTTTTGGGACACGTTTCAACATGAGATGAAGGGGCCTCTTCATGGTTTTGCAATATCAAGTTAAGGCGACTTTGATTTAATGTCAAGGGTGAATTAAAGGGATTTTGTGCTTTCTGGGTCTCATTTTCCAGTTGTTTTTTTTTTTCCCATGCAATGAATAGTAAGTATGGATAATTAGGATGTAAATGCTAGGCTATCTCTCTTATTTTAGTTTACCTCATTCCAATCGAAGTTACAAAAGATGTCTACTAAAAGCAAAAGAAAAATGATAAAAAAAAGGTGAAAATTATTAAATCTCAAATCAGGTTTTATTTAGTATTGATAACACTGAATTTGGCATTTAGTAATTTTCAACTTCTTTTTTATTATTTTTGTAAAAACAAATTAATTGTGGATTAAAAATTTTGAAATTCAATTGTAAAAAAAATTTATCTATCTCTCGAAAGACTTTTTCTTAAAAAAAGGTTTTTTTCCCGAATTTGCAGTCATATGTAATTAAAAATGGGAAGAAAGACACATAAATGTATCCCAGAGCTA